GGGGTGGGGCAGAGCGGGAGGAGGGGGCAGCAGAGCGGTTTTAATAGCTGATGCCAGAGCAGCCAGGCCTCAGAGGTGGGGTGAGTCTGGCCATTGTGCAACCTCTTCCAGTTCCTCTGAGCAGATAGATAATAGCTGAATCCAGATGGTGACAACTCGTGTGTCACCGTTTCCAGTTGAGTCCTAGGATATGAGTAACTGAGCCAAACAAAAGGCTCTTAAAGAGACCAGCCAGCTTTTTGGCAGAGATACTACTCATTTCCTGGGTGCAGGTGGAGGTGGGAGTTGGGGCGAGGGGAGATAAACAAACAAAAAAAACTATGGAGAGGATCCCATATCCTGCCTGTGAGGATTTTTACTCAGCTGCTTCTGCCTGAGCCAGACTGTAGGCAGGTTGCTTAAGGCTGCATTGTCACAGTCTTCCCTCTCCAAGTCATCTGTTCCTTCTGACTAATGATAGCTCTGCCAGTTCTCTAGTCAGTGCTGTCTCTGTGCTGAGAACTTTGGGTCTACAGGAGGCTGTGCATTCCCAGGGCCTGGTTTTCAGCTCCTGGACATCCCGGGGGGAGCTTGGTGCAGCACTGCCTACCAACAAGGAAGGGCCACAGAAGATGGGGACTTGGAGGCTCAGCTCTCTGGAGCTGGTGGCTTCATGGAAAGTGGGAACATATATAGAAGACAGTTCTTTCAAACCTTCTGTATGGTAACCTGGTGGATATTTGCTAGACCAGAGCCCTGGATGTTGCTAGTTTGGGATGTTCGGGGTAGCCGGGGTTGCCTAAGGTGGGGTAGCAGAGATAAGGGGAGGTAAATGAATGTACCCTACTGTCAACCAAAGCCTATAGATTGAGAACTGCAGCCCAGCTTGGGATTTTGGAGGTGGCCTCTGCTTCTCTTGCCTCCTAAGTGGGTCACCTTCTCTCTGCAGGTGTTTCCCATTAAACACTACCAGGACAAAATCAGGCCTTACATCCAGCTGCCATCACACAGAAACATCACCGGCATCGTGGAAGTGATCCTTGGGGAAACCAAGGCCTATGTGTTCTTTGAGAAGGACTTTGGGGACATGCACTCCTACGTGCGAAGCCGGAAGAGGCTGCGGGAAGAGGAGGCTTCCCGGCTCTTCAAGCAGATTGTCTCTGCCGTTGCCCACTGTCACCAGTCGGCCATCGTGCTGGGGGACCTGAAGCTTAGGAAATTCGTCTTCTCCACGGAGGAGAGGTGAGCAGCCTCCACAGCCCCTCCTGCGGCCTTCTGGAACCAAAACGAAGGTGCAGGTTGAGTTGTTCCGTGCAGTGTGTTGGTTCAAAATCACACCAATGGCTCTGTTGTCCCAGTTAGTTTTTAGAGGTCCTCTCCTGTGGAGCCATGGCCAGATTGCCTTATTCTGAACTCTTGTGGATGAGGCTTGGGGACACCTTGGTGCTTTTGTGGGATGTCATGTGATGACAGGAAGCCCTCCCCACTTCCAGCCCAAGATCAGGTTTATTCTCCATTGTTGTCAGAAAGGTCAGTTCTTCTGGGGTGCAAATGTCAGCCTGCCCTTCACAGCCTCAACTCCTAGAGGATGTTTTCAATTCCTTGTTTTCACCGAGTGGGGTTCTTTTGTACCTAGAAGGTGTTGCAGATCTAGCTAGACTGTTGTATTTGCAGAATTCTGCCTGCTTCCACACCACATTCCTGTTCTTTCTCAGGCTGGGCCCCCGCTATTTTCCTCACATTCTCCGGTGACTTTTTGGACATCTTCTTTGGCTGTGTCTTCAGTAAATAGCCACACTGAATAATAAATGGAAGTTGGCTGGAATAGGTTGCTAAATATAGATTGCGGCTTACCTCAGGAAGGACAAGATGCGCTTGAGAAAAATATAATGCGACCTTAAGATTCAGAATTGAGGTTTCAGACTGGAGAATTCAGGACGCCACAGGAGATAAAGCTTACCTGATTTCAAGAGGTGGGCCCATCCCCCGTGGAAGGATTAAAAGCAATATTGTAGGACTGTGGAGGGGGCTGTGTGTTATTTAGTTGTAGCTATTCGTGCAAGGCTGACCCCCCACCTGTGCTTTTTCACCCTTAACTCCAAACCCTATGAAAAAGTACCGGGTTGAGTTACCAGAAAGCATGGCTTTGTATCTGACCTTGCAATAATTATTGGAACATACCGATTAGCAAAGAGAAGCAAAGTGTTTGCAATGGAGAAGTTTCCAATTCCTGGCACAGTCTCCTCTGATATGGTGATGTATTTTCTGAAACATGCCTTCCACACCTCCTTACTAGCTTTTGAAATCTGCATTGCACAGGCGAATGTCATGTGCATGAAGTTTGGCAACCCGAGGGTTAAGCAATGGCAGGCTGACGCTAGCGTGTAACCAGCACAGGTGCAGGGTTTTAGTGCAAAAGCAGCCAATCAGGGGCAGACAGTGCGGGTTGAGTCATATTTTCCGTTTACAGAACCAATGGGCATTTTACATAACGCCGGGAGGTCAGGCTGAGGACATACCGAAGTTAGCACACGCATACTACACTCCAGGGAACAGGAAGGCAGGAAGATTAAAAAAAATCCAACCAGACCTTTGAGAGGAAAAGGAATTGACCCATTAGCCAGTACCAAATGTTTGTGTTTAACTTCACAACAAGTGACTTACTGCAACAGGGCTGTTTCTGAGAAGCAGAGAGTGGCACAGGCTGCCGCCAGATAGCAGAGGTTCCCACGTGGATCTGAGAGAGCTGGGTGGCTGGATCTACATAAGGAGGGCCCTGCAGCTTCATAAAAGAGCCTTGGACTAAAGATTTTTAGACTTTAGTTGTTATCTGGACAGATAAGCCCCCGTGTAGAGAACATATGCTCAGGTGTTGCTGTACCATGTACGTAGGTGTTTGGGGGCCCCTGCATCCTTCAGATTCACCAGCTGCTTTTGCTTGTCCATATGACCTCTCTGTCCAGGCGAAGTGTTCTTTGCAGTTAAACACCTCAATAAACGTAATGGACTTTCCTTCCACATTTCCCATCACAGTGATCAGGCCCAGGTGGTCAGAGTTCCCTCTGTGTGTATATATCAAAGTAAGTAGGAGTGTTGACAACCTGTGCGTAATAATAGTGACTTTGGTCTCCATGTTCTGTATTGCAAAGCGTGGGTCCGGTAGCCCTGGCTGTCAGTGATAAAGACAAGATTGGCTTGTAGGATGCTCAGGCCCTCCCAGAAGAACAGAATATACTGCTCTTCGGTAGCTTTTGTAGAAAGCTATCATGTCAGCATTCCCTGGAGACTAGCTCCCACTTCTGCAACACGCACTTTGTAAGTTGTGTAAGCCCCATGAGGAGATTTCTTCTTAGCCCCAGCGTAAAGAACAGTATTTGGGGCTTTGCATCATATGCTCCATCCTCGGCGCTCTCTCCATACTTTGGAAACATCTATTGCAGTTTGTATTGGTCTGTGAAATCCCGAGTCCTGGTGATTGCAGGGCACTGCTTACTGGATGAAGGGGTAAATGGCACCCCTTGGGCCTTGGCAGACAGTGCTGTTGTGGGGAAGGCTTTGTTGTTCATGGCAGCTGATCTGGAAGTAATGGCTTGTTCTCTCTCCTGCAGAACCCAGCTCAGACTGGAGAGTCTGGAAGATACGCACATAATCAAGGGGGAAGACGATGCCCTGTCAGACAAGCACGGCTGCCCGGCCTACGTGAGCCCTGAGATTCTGAACACCACGGGGACCTACTCTGGGAAGGCGGCGGATGTTTGGAGCCTTGGGGTGATGCTGTACACCCTTTTGGTGGGACGATACCCCTTCCATGACTCAGACCCCAGTGCCCTTTTCTCGAAAATCCGCCGTGGACAGTTCTGCATTCCTGACCACATTTCCCCCAAAGCCAGGTGCCTCATTCGCAGCCTCCTGAGGCGGGAGCCTTCTGAGAGACTCACCGCCCCGGAGATCTTACTCCATCCCTGGTTTGAGTCCGTCTTGGAACCTGGGTACGTCGACTCAGAAACGGGAACTTCAGACCAGATTGTCCCAGAGTACCAGGAGGACAGTGACGTTAGTTCCTTCTTCTGCTAATCCCAGAAACCTCAGAAACCTCATAATTCTCACACATGGCATTTCCATTTCCAAAGATGGACAGGCCTTTCGACGTGGTGCCAACCAGACACGTGATGGCATAAAGACTGTAGCTGCTGAACTGGACGCGGCGCCCCTCGGACTGGCTGTGACCGTGACTTTACTGGTGTGAGCAGCGTGCACTCTGATGGGCTGCCCTGCAAGCTGTCTCCCTTCTTGACGAGCCCTCGCCACCTATCCCAGTGTCAGATCGGGGGTCCGCCTCTTTTATAGGTGGCACAGAGTGTGGATATCCTACAGCACGTGCTCAAGTGACGTGAACCTCCAAAGGGAGAGGAAGTGGATCGCACAGTGACATTGGGGGCAATAACCTGTTTTAACAGGGTGACAAATCATTTGGGCCAATACACCTGCCATCTTTGAACTTGTCTTTGGTAGCTAGACTCTCGCTATACCAGCTCCTCTGAGTGGAGAGTTCTTTTTTTTTATGGTTTGGTTTAACACTCACCCTTTCTTCACACACGTTTAGCAATGACTGCTCCGTGTCGGGGGCAGACAGTTTCAGGAGCATAGGAGCCTCCTGCACCATGAACCCAGACTCTCTCCTCTATTTCCCGCCAAGACCTCATTTGCACTAATGCCTTCTCTCTGACCTTGAAACGTCTCTCCCCCTTCACTCTAAAAGCACCTACCAGCTGATGGTGGAGAAGTGTCACAAACAATTCGAACTCCTGGCTATTTCAGAACTCAGCTCAGACAGAGACTGCAGATTTTTAAAAATAATTTGAGCACTTGGAAACTGGTAGCTTTTTGGGTTCCTCTCAAATATGTTAGCATTTATCTTTTACTTTTTCCCCAAGACCATCTCAGGGTGGAGTGTTTTGTCTAAGAGGAGAAAGGTATGGAGTCTCTCCACTCCCCTCTCCCAAGAGCAAATGTTAAAATTTAGAGGAAGTGAATTTTGGATGGTTCTCAGACGAAGTTCCAGAATTATACTTTAATCCCCACCTCCATGGATATGGTCTGCCCTTGGCATTGTGTGTGCGTCTGCAGTTTTGCATGATGGGTTGTTAATATTTCAAATGTGGTGTGGTTTGTGAATACATCTGTATACTCAGCATCTGGAGGAAATAGCAAACCCCAAATCTTAAAAGTCGGAAGAACTTTGAAAGTCATCTGGTCCAACTTCTTTTCTCTTTCTGCCACCTCCCAACGCAGAAATCCACCCCCCTTGAGCTTGTCTTACACCTGGGAATCCGGTCTCTGTTTGAATGCTTCCAGAGACTGGAACTCACTCCCTACAAAAGATAGAGCTTAACGGAGAAACTGCAACTTGCATTAAAAAACAAATACAGATGAAATACCAGTCAATGTCTTGGACAGGACAGAAATTAGGTGGTTAAACGGGTAAACCAAACATACTGTATTTTGAGAAATGGCACAAAAACAGGCAGTCATCTTCAAGGGCTATGCCTAGGCAAACTACTAACATGAATTGTTAAGAATGCCGTGTATACCTCATGTACTGTGTACTTTGTACATATATTTTACCTTTTATACATATGTTCGATATTTTTTGTTGTTTTGGCTCTGAGGCTTGTTCTGTTGTTTGTGTATGTCTGAATAACCTGCGTGTCTAAAACCACGTGAAATGTGAATGATTATTGGCAATATTACCTTGACAGAATCATGGGACTCGGAGAAGAGGGAGGACAGAGGCCTCTGTCGCACTAACGCTCTCGTGGTTGCTCGACTGTTGTATCTGTGATACATTACCCGGCTAAGGACTCTGGCCGGGCTGGCCGGGGCTTCTGCCGGCGAAGCTAGAAACACTAGACCCTTCCTGTACATGTGTATATATGTGAACAGTGAGATGGCCATTTTTGACTTGTAGAGAAATTTTAATAAATCTGGTTTCGTAAATAGGCGCTGTGAATTTCTTTTGAGTCCAGCCTGCCTTTGCCTTGTACAAATCATGCCGGGGGATGCGAAGGTCTGGCCTCAGGGCTCGGAATCTCACGGGGGAAAGGGAAGTAAACAGATGATGATTATTATATATGATGATTATACGTGACTTTTGACAGAGCCCATTCACTTTTTTCATTGAAAGTGGGCACATTCATTTTGATGGGTGAAGCCTGTTTGGTGGAATCAGGTTGGCGAGGGCTGTGGGTTGAATTTAGAGTCGAGAAGCATTCGAAGAAGAACAAACATAAATAAGCCTTGAGCTGTAAGAATCCCCCTGGCTTTTGGTCTTTTTTAAGGTCAGGGACCCTTGAGAGTTTGATGAAAGCTATGGACACTTCTCAGAAAAATATATGTGTATATATGTGTATCCAACAGAATTTTGCTGTAATTTCAGATGTCCGCATATATGCCTGGAGGCACCCCAAAGCTTTCTGTTGAGAGAACCATCTACCCCCCACCTGTGAGACTAAAGTAAATGGCTAATTGAGGCATTTCCTTTTTTTCCCTGTAAGTGTAAAAATGGAAGTAAAAAACTAAAGACATTTAAATCACAAAGGTAAAGAAAGGATTTGGATTTCATTAGGTTTATAGCTTCACTATTACATCTGAATCTATTCTAAATCAAGTAAATAAGCATCCAGAATGATTAAGAAAAACTTTATGTTGTAAGGTAGCAAATATACAGAAAAAATGCACATGTAAGTGTATAGCTCTGAATTTTCACGAACTGAACACACTGGCGTAACAAGCAGTCAGATTAAGAAGACAAAAGAGCCCTGGCCTGTGTGGCTCAGCGGTTAGAGCACCGGCCTTTGGACTGAAGGGTCGAGGGTTCTGTTCTGTTCCCTGCAAACATACCTCGGCCACAGGTTCATGCAGGGCGGGGGGCTGGGGCGTGCGAGGAAAGCAACCAGCCGATGTCTCTCTCTTCTCCCCCCTTCTCCCCCTCCCTCCCTTCCACTCTCTCTAAAAATCAATGGGAAAAATATCCTTGGGTGATGATTAAAAAAAAAAAAAGGAAATAAAACCGTGCCAGGACCCCAGGACCCCCTTCTGGTGCTTTTAGTCGCTGCCTGGCACCCCTCCCAAGGATTACCACCATAGGACAGAATTTTCTCTCGTAAGTTTTAACTGTAAAAATTAGAGTAAGGGCTAAGTCATCAACTTGAGGCTTAAATAAAGAGGCCCACAGAAGTTCCCAATGACACAAGTCCTCTTTTCCAAGACTCAGGCTGAGCTCACCCGGGAAAGCAGACCTATGACACCCAAGTAAGTGTAACTCAGGCCTCATGACTCAGGAACCTCAGGAAAGAAGTGGAAAAGGCACATCAGAAGGACGTGGGAAATGGCCGAATGCCTGGGTAAGCTCAGAACCCAGGACACTGGGGTTGGTCTAGGGCAGGGGTGGGGAACCTTTTTTCTGCCAAGGGCCATTTGGGTATTTATAACATCATTCGTGGGCCATACAAAATTATAAACTTAAAAATTAGCTGTGAAAAAAGCTCCTAGATTTATTGACTTCTGAGTCCCGCCTGTGGTTGCCTTGGCAGGGCCAGCCCAAATGATGTCTCACCCCTGGTCTAGGGCAACGATTTTCCCCCTTTTCCATCTCACGGCACACATGAACTAATTATTAAAATTATTAAAATAGTGACACACTAAAAAAATAGATTTTTGCCGATCTGACAAAAAATAGGTATAATTTTGATTAATTAAGACCAGATGACTATTGTGTTGGCTGTTGTCATTTTTTTATTTGGCAATCTAAGGGAAAAGAGGTCAGTGCCCCTGACTTAATAGTCAGGTATTGCATGTTTTAAAAATTCTTGTGGCACACCAGTGTGCAGTGGGTTGATAATTCCTGGTCTAGGGCCATCCCCTGAATAGGGCCCTTAAGCCCCAAAGTGCCTGGGGTAGGCCTCAGTCTCAGAACATTCATTACAAGGTCCCCCTGCTCCAGGCAACCCAGATGAGGTTCAGAATAACTCCTTGGGCATACAGCCCACTAATACGGCTAATACTTTGGACTTCACCTAGCTTTTTAATCTAAGGATTTCAAAACACTTTTCAAGCAATTAAGGTTACAACACCTGTTTGTACTGTTGTTACATGCACCTAATGGAGAGAAATATGGGTCAGGATAGGCTGGAATGACATATGATGCCACAAATCCATAAATTTAATCTCTTTGAAGATTGGAACAAATCTGGGGCAGTCACAATCACTTACATTTAGATTTGGAATGAAAGTGTTGAGCACTGGCTAAAAAGCTGGTCCCTTCTATTTTCCTTGTGTCCTCCATCATTAGAGTAAACCACACAAGTAATATCTCAACCTCTTATTCATGTTGTGCTTTCTAGAAGTTTCCCTCCCCCTTTGCCCCACCCTCACAATGGTAGAGTGAAACAGGCAAGTCAAAGATTATTTGCTCCATTTTACAGATGAGAAAATGGAAGCTCAAGTGTTTTTCAGTAGCCACTCAGGACTAAGGAGCTCAGAACTGGGACATGAACTTGGCTCTTTGGACTCCTTGCCCAATTCTGTTTCCATCTCTGCACAGCACCACATCGAATCTTCTGGCAGGACTGAGGGTTGGGGAGCGGAGCAGGATGGGCGAGCAGTCTGGATGCCAGGATGGATAACTGTTTTGCTACAGCATTTAATTTTTTTCCAAATTTATTGATTTTAGAGAGAGGAACGAAGGGAGGAAGGGAGAGAGGGAGAGAGAAATGTCACTTTGTTTTCCTACCTACCTCTGCAGTCATTGGTTGATTCTTGCATGTTTTCTGACTGAGGATTGAAGCCACACACCAGGAGTATCAGGACGACACTCCAACCAGTGGAGCTGTAGGCCAGGGCTTGCTGCAGAATTTGTAATTGCTTGTGTGCTTAGCCCCACCTCCACCATCCACATGGCAGCCTCAGGTAGCACAGGCTTCTGGTCTGAACATGAAGTCCAGTTCAAGAAAATTCCAGTGACTTGAACAGAAAGCATCTGGAACGACTTTGCTGGTGATGAGGCAGAGGGACAGGTTTATAATGGTGCCCTTTTCACCGTAACGCACACTGGGATTGTGGAGACGGTCTATCACTAAACCCCAGACAGGTACTGGAACAAGCAAGAAAGGGCAGGATCACTTGATGTGGTCACAAGATGCACGAGCTTCACTCTAAATGAGACGCTCAAGGAGAAGTTTGTTGATCCTGGAAACCCCGATAGTGGGATTGATCTGCTCTGGACCTGTCTGTGGCATTTACCTTTCGTTAGTCCAGGTGTGATGCGCTTCAGGCTTCGATTGGGCCTTGTCCTTGTACCTGCCAAAGCTTGGATCCCACCATTGCCACAGGCGTTCTCCGTCTCCTTGCAGGTCCGTGCACACTGGGCTCAGTGAGTTGTTCTGTTGCTGGGATTGAACTACACCCGAAATTAGGGCTGCCTGAGGACGTGGCTGGTCAATCTGGCTGCTCCTTCTGTCTGGCCTGCATCTCAGCTCCCTTACAGCTCATGCCCCCTGCCTTCTTCATCTGGGCAGCTCCTACCAAAGGGAAATAGCGTGTGGCATGAGTGGGAAGCTGGCTGCTTTACAATGGCCATTTTTATTATTTTGTAAGAGTAATGTTTTCTCCTGTTTCTCCCCAGCCCAGCTTGTGCTTAATTTTTTTTATGGATATATCATTTTATCTTGAAAATCCATTTTATTGACTCACACAGTTTTTTTTTAATACAGCTAACATTTATATACATTACTCTGACTGATTCCATATTTCAAACAAACTAATCCAGGGTCAGAGTCCAGACATAAAGAAATGGGTAGATACTTGGCACAAACTTGTGAAAGATAACTGATAGTGGAAAGTGGACCCAGAGCAAGTGCTGCTGATGTTGGTAGGCTTTTCAGTAAAGTGATTGCATTTACTCAACTGGAAATTTAATTTTCACTGGGAGACCTCATCATTGTCAAAACTTACCTTCACTTTGCTGTTGTAGATAACCAATCAGCCAGAGCCAGAGTCATTAAGTGCTATTTTCAAAGACTTAAACTACATAACATAGGGCAATTATCTAAGATCTTTTTTCCTAAATACTGGCATATCGCTTCACTGAGATGAAATATAGCAGCTGCTTATTTACATTGTGTCTGTCCACAAGAAAAAGTGAAAAATACAGTATTTTCTTGAAATTTTAACTTTGTAATGACAGGAATTCCAGTTCAGCCAGACAAGAAGACTAACTTTATTTTACTTGAAAAGCACACAAAAAACTCTCCTTAATATGTCAGTAAGATTTTCAGCACCATCAAACCATTTTGGATTTTTGCTCTTTCCCCCTTAACACACCAGGTTTATTAAAACAGTGCTTTTTTTAATACTACATTGGGGTCACAGAGTAAAGTTCTGCCTCTGCTTTCTCTTTATTAGAGACCCTCTGGAGTTAGGAAAACTACCACACCCAGGCTGGTTGTTAACTTCCCACTATGGTCTTTATTTCTGGGGGTGAAATGATGTGTCTTTCTTTGCCTAAACCCCTTCCTGGTATGTCTCAACATTATTTATTTATTTTTAAAAGAGCTAATAATTAAAGCTTATTGTAAAGACAGTATCATTTCTAAGAAAAAGCAGCTTCCCATTTCTAGAAAAATCATACCTAAAATAACATTCTAGAGTTTTAGCCTTTAATTTCAAAAATAACTTTTACGTCTGTGTGTGTGTGTTTACAGAGCTCTTTTTTTCATCCATATACAATCACAGAAGGACCTTGATAACTAGTAAGGGGTATCAACATTATTTAATGACACTTTTTAAAATAAATATGTCTATAAACATTAAATTTAAAAAAATCTTATTTATTTATTTTATTACTTTAGCACTTGACAGATTTTTAAAACTGTAACTTCGTTATTTCTTACAATATTCTAAATCTGCCTTCTATAAAAAAATTAAAAATGAGAAAAAAA